GCTGGGGAATTCTGGGAGTTGAAGTCCACCCGTCTTAAAGTTGTCAAGGCTGAGAAACACTGTAAACAATTAGCTCCCTAACTGTGGGCAGGATGGATTTTTTTGGATTTTTTTTTTTTTTAAGTAACAACCTACTGATAAAAAAATGTACTCCCCTTTGTGGAAGATGTGGTCAGCAAACTAGGCAGGACTGGCCAGCCTAGGGCATTCTGAACCACGGATGCCACCACTGAAAAAGCCCTGCCTTGCAAAACCATTGAAAATGGGGGCAGGACTCAGACCACAAGACCACCCTGGGCTGTGAGATTCGCAGGGATCAGTGGTGCATCCTTTGCTGCTTCCCACATTTACCTGTAAACGAAAACCTCCACGGATTAACATTTGGCTGGATTTCCTTCACTTGGCTCTGTGGCCCCCAATATCGCAGAGACCATATGCCTATAAAAATTAGCACTGGGCAGAATAATTCCCCTGGTTTTTTTTTGTAATTGTATTAAACGCTTTAAAAAGGAAAGTAAAAACTAATACAAACGTATATAAAGGAAGAAAAAAGAAAAAAATCAAAGAGAAAGCTAAAAGTGCAAGAAAAAAAGTAAAAGTAAAAGAAAAATAGAAAAGAGAGAAAAAAGATGCAAAGAAGTGGCTTCCGATCTTCTTTACAGCAGTTATAAATATAATTATAAATTTATCCCTTTCTCTTAAGTTACATCACGACTCTCTTCTTTCTATAATCTGTCCTGTGTAATCATCAAAACCATAAATCATAAGTTCATTTTTTCTGTTTTATGCCAAAAAGTCCATCTCCTGTATTTTTTAATCAGTTCTTATTCAGTTTGGTAAAAGAGAATTTGCTTTCAAAATTTCCTTCAGAAGAGAATATTGGGAAAAATCTCTTTTGGAGTGTTATGTTCTTGCATTTTTAGAGGCAGGGTAGCCAAAGGGTACATATAAGGAAGAATAATCCTTGTATCATTTTCCAAGGATCTGCAACCTCCCTCGGTTCCTACAGTTTCATTAAACCCCATGGGAAGACCTCAGAGGGAACTTCAGTCACATTGCTATTGTTGGTGCTAAGGAGGAATTGTGAGAAATTGTTGGGAATTGTCTTCCTCCTCTGAAAAAGTTCCACTCAAAATTATCCACTCAATTTCTCTGTCCACAAATTGGGTGAACATTTTTGAAAAGTCATCTGTTTTTGCAGTCACTTCCTACGTGTTCCGTCCTTGCTCACCTTCTCGCCTCGTCTTTTCCCTCCACTCCAGGTCTGAAGGTGAATCGCTTAGACATGTATGGAGAGAAGTACAAACCTTTCAAAGGGATCAAGTACATGACCAAGGCTGGGAAGTTCCAAGTCCGGACCTAAGAGACCTTCTGCCCAGGTCTTCTACTCCACCTCTGCTCTCCTCTTCCTCATGGTTGCTCCTTGGTGTGACCCATCTGGATTTTTTCTGAGACAGGCAACTTTTCCCCTGGTTGGGCCAGCCCCTCCTCAAATATTGGAGCTCTTAGGTGGCAACAAAGAGCAAGCAGGAGAAGCAGCAATTTCCCTTCAGGCTTGTTGGCGTTCAGCTTCAGCAGACGCTGTGCTTTTGTCCCTTGGGCCGTGGGTGGCGGCTGGGCTCTTCGCCGGCTGGAGCTGCAGCAGAAGAGATGTCGGAGAATCCCAACAAGGAGAGGCTTGAGAGATCTAACCCTGAATAATCTTCCTGCTTATTGTACGGGATTCTGGCTGGAAAAGAGCTCCATGCCCATGTAAGGTCCAACAGAAGGTCTTTATTCCCCTCCCTGTCTTCATTCAGCCCTGCCTTATTTAAATGTGTCCGTTTGGACAGAAACAGAAAAGAGACAACTCTTTCCTCAGACAGTTGTTGGTGATCTAAAAGTGGCATTTCAGACCCATGTAAATATGCTCGGCCCTGGCTGTTGTCTATGGTGATAAAGAGGATTTGCAGGTTTGGGGATAGAGCTTGAGAAGTGAGTTTGCTCCAGTTATACGGGAGCAAAAAACACGAGCATATATCCTGTTGGAACGTAACATCTGTGGTATCATCTTCAGCTTTCTGAAAACTCTTCCCTATCTGAGTTTCTTTCGGGGGGGGGGTATAGTCACGAGAAGGCCATGTACAAATATCTATTTAATGCGATGGCTACTAAAGGAATGGGGTAGCAGCGGTTTGGGCTTTGAGGGGTGGAGCACTCTAATTGTTGGGCTGTGCTTCCTCATCTGCATGTGCTTGCATGTTGCACTGCCAGCTGTTCTCTCTGACGTGCATTGCTGATATACAAATAGATCTGCTTTCACCAGTCTGGTGCCCCCTGGCTGCCTGGGTGTACAGCTGCTGTCTCCTGAGCTTCTCCCAGTGAATAGGAATTGCAGTCCAGCATGTCTTCTCAACGCCAGGCTGCTGGTCCTTTTTTTGGTGCAACTTCTCTCTTAGAGCTTCAGGGTGTTGCCCCCCTTAAGTCTGAGCTAGATCAGAGCTGGGTGTGTTTCCATTCTGATCTGGGCTGCCCTCTCCTGTTTCATTCATTGAGAGGAAAACCCAAGGCCAATCCAGGTGGATGTCATGTGGCAGGGTGGCTCATTTGTGGAAGGCCAGCGCCATTAAACACTCCAAAAACTTGGAGCCAAGATCCGCTGGTCAGGTTGGCCAACGCAGACTGTGCCAAAACACTCTTGGCATGTGGACTTTGCCACTCAATTTTCTTATTTTTGCTTAAAGATGGTGTGAGTTGGAATGATGTTGCAGGACAGGAAAGAAATGATGGCTCAGCCATTGCAAGGGGGTGTGCCTGTCTGCATTTTAGAAAATTTTAAAAGCCTGCGCTTTTTAGAAAGCATCCATCTGAGGCTGACAGTCATCTTCATTTCCACTGAAGAGGCTAAGAGGGCATAAGCTCCTTTTTATAATAACGAGGCCCATTTTTTGAATGAGGTGTGTTCAGGATCTAACTGGGTTGGAAAATGCTGATGTCGCGTTCTTAATAGCTGTTCGTCTGAGATGTCTCTTCTTTTGGCTTCATGCATCTCCCGGTCAACCTTTAGATTAGCTCTTCTTTGGCCCCTCTCTTTGTGTTATGGTCTGAGAATCTTGCAGGCCTCCCAATCTAGCACCTTCTGGATTGGGTGTTCAAAGGATTCAGAAGGACATCCAGTCTTCTCTCTTCTGCCCCAGAATTCAGGAGTCTGCTGGCTCCCTTTCTGACCAACGAATTTTATTCAAAGGCATCAGCTTTTGTCTTTTAGACAAAATTTGAATAAAATTTGTTGGTTGGAAAAGGTGCTACTTCTGAATTTTTGCCACCAAACCTGGCTCTTCTCCTACCATCTCCTCTGCCCAGTGACTGGCTGTTGCTCCTTCCCTCTCAGCTTGCGCTCTTCTTGGAAGGAGAACTGGGGAGTGAAGGAAGTTTCTCAAGTGTAGGATTATAATATGTTCTTCTCTGTATATGTGTAGTTAAGCATCCTTGACTTACAAGCCTGAGGATGTTGCTGTGGAGCAATGCAGTTGAACTCACCCAGTTCCCACCAGCCCCAGCCAACATGGCCAGTGATGAGGGATGTTGAGACCTGTAGTCCAGTAGGATCTGAAGAGCAAAGATTGCCTCTTGCTGCTTCAATGCAGCCTGTCTTGTATGGCTTCTGGGTGTCGTTTCAACTGAGAGAAATGGTGCCTAGCAAAAACACCCATGGAATTTCTGCATGGCCTGGATGGAGTATATGAATATATTTAGTGTCCTGAACAATCGATAAAGCCCCTTTTAGCCATTTAGTGTTTGGGATCTAATGAAGAGAAGTATGAACAACTAATGAAGCTGGCTTGGAAGAGGATCAGGAACCCAGTAGCTGGGACAGTAGTTTGCTTTTACTATCTGATGCCTGCCCGCCAGGGCTGGGTGTCATGTCTGTGGGAAAGGGATGAGGAACTTTCTCCTGGGGTGGGCGCGGGGTGGAAGGGGAGGGAAGGATGACAGGTTACACACAAAAAATTGGATATTCAAATGCTCTACTTCTGCAAAGATCTAGCAATGATTTGCTAAAGTAGCTGAAGGGGCAGGTTGAATTTTTTTGGCCCTTTGGAGTTGGAAGGGAGGAAAGATGGTGCCTGAATCCTCCTTATCTGTTTTCTAAACGCAGTGCCAATTTGGGTGTAGAGGCAGCCCCTTGCTGATTCCATTTAATATAAAAGCATGAAAACATTAAGGGCCAATTGTTTCAAAGTGGTGGTACTAGGGTGATTTCCATCAAAACAGGTTTTCATGAAAAGGTCCAGGCAAATTAAAAACAAAACCCTGTCTCTTAATGCTGAAAAAACATGCTACCAGGGGTCTGGTGTGTCACCTGGAAAGACCAAAGAGGGAAAATCCTTTCCCAGGTGCCACCTGCCTTGATGCAAAAGACATGGACTTCAGACAGATGATTCTTGCAGTCTTCCTAGCATCACAGCCTCCTGAGGATGCAACTTCTTCTTCAGCGCAGTAGGTGGAGATGCAAGCCCAAGAGATATCATGGTTTTCATGGACCAGCCAAAGGGACTTCTGAAGAGAGGCAGCCTTGTTTAATTTGAGGAATCAGGACAGATTTATGGGTCATACACAGAAGTTCTGCACAGAGCCTCCATCTTGAAATGAGTGGTTAATTTCCAAGGGGCCTGCAAATATCCAGATGTGTTCATGACCAGGGTTGGGGACGCAAGGGTCAGTTTCTGGATAACCAGGGTGAGAGCAAGTTTTTGGCCTTGACAAACTTCTTGGCCTCCCACAGATAGGCCTGACTCTGTTGGTCCCAATCTTTGGATATGTGGAAAAGGGGCTTTTGCGACTCTCCCAAGCCACAACTTCCTTGGAAGTTGCCCTCAGCCTCCATCCTTTGCACTTTCAACAAAGAGCTCAAGATCTTTCTATCCAACCCAGCCATTTGGATGGGCTAATAATTGTAGATGGTTTTTATTGTCTTTAAAAATTGCTTCTATTTTTAGATGGTCACTACTTGACTTGAATGGCCAGGGGGCAGAAAGGCGGCATAGACACTGAAATAATAAGCAAAAGAAATCTTTTGGCAGGGGTGGGAGATGGGAGTCAGAATGAATTAAGCCTTCTTCTGACCCAGCAAGACAACTCTTGCTTCCATTTGGCATTAAATATCTAGGGTTGGATTTATATTCTGAAATATAAATCCAATCCAATGGATGGATGTATATTCTGCAAGTCTTCCACTTTTAGCATGTGCTTCTATTTCACCTTGAAAATTCCAACATCCTGTGGCAAGTCTGGTCTTTGGAAAATCCATTAGCTGTTTCAGGGAGCTTCCCCCTGTCTAGGTTCCTCCATATGTTCTGACCTGCCGTTTCCATCAGCCATAGCCAGGCTGTCACCAGACATGGTGTTTGGGAGTTGTAGTGGAGTTCTAGTTCCCTAGTCCTGCTCTAAGGGTCAAATTTTGTATTCTGAAATGGAGAACACCTCATAAAACTCTTTGGTTGACTTCTGGCCCTGCCAGAGTTTGGTTTGATACAACCCTGCATTTTATTTATTACATTTCCATTTCTGCCATTCCCTCAGAACAATGAACAACCAAGCACATGGTGTTCCCCTTGTAGCTTCTTCTCTCAATGAACTAAACATGGTTGCATTTGGAAAACATCCTGAACCACATTGCAGTGAACTTAACATGATGTGCGCACTTGGCTGGTGCACTTAGCTGATCGTTCAGGGCAAAACCAGAAAATTAAGCAAACAGAATAAACATGATTCAGATAAGCCCGTCATGGGAACACAGCCAGTGTGTAGCAAGGCAGATAGAGATAGGCTAAAGGGAACTTCATGCCACCGAAGGGGCTGAGAACTGAATGTGTGTGTCCCTTGCTCCCCCCTCCATCTTAACTCAGCACCCTGAATGCTGTCTCTCTGCATTGTCCTTAACAAGCTTCCTCTAATTTATGACAATCTGGTTGGTTTATTTTTTTTTTCTTCTTACTAATCATTACTCTTACTTTGGTTACTGGATCCTAGCTGTTTTCTTTTTGCCCAGGTTGCTCATTGGCCTGGAATTTGCTGTTACATCCCAGTTCCTTGTTGACAAGATGCTTCAACAGCAGTCCTTCCTAAGGGAAATCCCTTCCCTCCACTTTGCAGCATTTAACCTGGCAGAGACATTTGATCCTGGCCCAGCAACCATTAGTGGTTCCCAGCATCAACCAGGGCTTGAGTTGACAGCTTCCAAGCATGTGCAGGGACTGTGGGAGAAGAGAAGATGGCTGGCCCCACCCTTAGGAAGTTCATTCACCCTACCTGCATTGGCTGAGCCCTAATGGCATCCCAGTAACGAGAGGATTCACATATGTGCTAAGCCATCCTATGGTTTATTTGGATTGGTCTTCATGCATTCTGCAGCTCCAGCCTCTGTACCTTAAACAAGCCATAGCTTACTGTGTTATGTGAACCACACCTATGAATTCAATAAACCATGGCTTAGTGTAACATAACGAATCCAGACTGAGTAGTTGTGCACACATAAATGTCAGCTTGGAACTTGCAATGTACTAGATCATTATTTATTCAGTTTAATATCCCATCTCTAGAAGCTCTAGGAGCTGAAATTACTGTATGTAGGACTCCCTTCCATGTAATGGTCTGTGGAAGGACCTTGGAAGACTGGAGGAAGGGCTGCAAACTAGACAGCAGTTGGATAAGCAGCAGCTGAGTCCACAGAAGGAATCGGGGGAGGTGGCAAATGTCTCAGAAGGGACCGTTTCAGACTTGCAAGATTGATGTCAGCCTTGCAAGGTAGTCCAGACAAGAAGCACACCCAGAAGTACTACCCTTACTTTATTGTAAGGTTACATTAACAAAATCTTGCAAGTCTGAAAGTACATCTCTCCCCCTTTGCCTTTACAATCCAAGAAACTAGGGAGGGTCAACCCCCCATTCCTTCTGCGGACTCAGCTGCAGCTTATCCGACCATTGCCCTGGCTGCGGCCCTTCCCCCTTCCAAGCTCATTCCCACAGACCATTACAACCCACTTCTTACAAAAGCCATCCTGTGAGAAAGGTTGAGCTGAGAGAGAGAGTGTCCCTTGGGGGCTTCTGTGGTTGGGGGAGGGCTGGAACTGGGGTCTTGCTGGTGCCAGGCCAATGACACATGATGTGCTTTGTTTAATTCAATGTGTACAAGCCAAGCCATGGTGGCATGTAAGCCATACTTTATGGCAGTGTCTTTGTTTCAGTCAACTGTGATTAGTTCAATAAACCATGGTTAAGTGGTAGCTCAGCATGCTGTGCAAACTCTGTATGAGCTTCGTGTTGAAGCAGAGCAGTCAGCCCTGATTTGTCATGACCTTGATCTAGCCCATGGGTTACATTTCACAACTGGGTGTCTTTGATTCTGCCTTCACATCTCCTCTTTGCTCTATCAATAGAGGAAGCCATTCCAAAACCCAAGCATATCTTGCATATGCCGGCCGCCAGCACAGTCACACCAAAGCAGGTCATGCAATGATATACCTTTTTTGCCTCTCTTTGTGAACTGAGATCCCTGTTTCTATTGGACAGCAGGAGAACATCTGCTTTCTCCTACCCGTCATGTCCAAACAAGTTCCATGCAGGTGGGAGAAGTCCTTGCTTCCTGGTTCCCCTTTTTTTCTGGTAGGTTGAACTTCCATAGGAATCCTGGTTGGCAGTTTGGAAGGGGAAGTTCAACACATCTGGGGGGCACCAGTTTGGGAAGGCTGAGGTCACATTTAGATTAGGATTGTGATCTCTTCCCCCCATTCCACCCCACACCCAAGGAACTACACAATTGCACCTAGGGTCACGCCAGCCTTCAGATGCCTTGCTCTGGGCCTGTAGCCTGAGGAAGATGTAGGACATTAGTAGCCCACTAGATGCTGAATGAAGCTCCCTTGATCAGGGACCATGCTGGCTGGGCTGATGGACCTGGTAATTTAAAAGGAATGTGGTTCTTTGATCTTTGACCCAAGAGATTAAATTGCTGTGTGAAGTTATTTCCGAAAGGAGGAAAACGTGCAAGTGAATGCTGGCAGTTATTTATCATTGTGTTAACCTCTGGGGTTATCATTGTTCTGAACATAGTAGAAACGTTAAGGGATGCGGTCTGATTTTGTTTATTATTATTACGGTCTTTCTGTGCTCCTTGTGGACATCCCGGAGACATCTGATGGGCTCCTGTGAAAACAAGACACTAACTCTGTAAGACTTTGGTTTGATCTGAATGTAATTCTACAGAGAAGAAGGTTGAATAGATTCATGAGTAACTCCTGTGGACTTCAGGTGTGTGTAGGATTGCACCTTGCTAAGAGAAATCCTGCTAACTCAACGAGGCAGTGTCCATACCATGGGACAGCATTGTAGTGTAGTGTAGCAGAGTCAACAGTAAACTTTGGAAATTTTGAAGAAAACAGCCATAGTATGGATGTATCAGAAATGGAGGGAGAGAGGAAAGATGCTGGCTCTGGCATCAAAGCAGACCCATTCGTCTTCTGAAAATGAGAGAGGCCCTCTCATAGCTGGGTATTCCAGTGGGCACGGTCTGAGGAATAATTATCTGCAATCCAAGGACTGCTGCTACTGATGTAAGAATCCCAATTTGGGGGTTGCCTCTTGACTAAGGAAAATACATGGCTAGAGCACAACTGAAGGAGTGACCCAACAGAGGGAGTTCACAGCACACCCTCAATTCTGCTGCAGTTCTACATCAGGAGTACAGGTAGTCCTTGACTTACCACCACAACTGGGACAGGAATTTCCATCACTAAGCGATGCAGTTGTAAAGCAAGATGTCATGTGACCACATTGCTTCGTGACTTCTATCCCAGCAGTCCCGGTTGCTGCTGTTAAACTGAGAATTGCAGGTTATTAGCCAAGAACCCACCCCAATCCTGATATAGCTGTGGGCATTTCACTCCTTGCCCCCTAAATCCGTGTAAATCACAGAGAAACATGGCAGGCAAACTCTATTACACATGGTGTGATGTGCAATGAGCAATTCAAGGACAACATCAAGTAAATCAAAATAGTTTAATGCATTAAAACATACAAGAGGCAATACTCAATAGTCTTCTTGAAGAACAGAAGACCCCTGTCATTCTGCACACCGGGAAATGGGGATTTGATTTTATACAGAAAATGTTAAGTATCTACAAAATATAAAAATAATTTCTGAAGCTTTATTGAGAGAGTGGTGCCTGAAGTGATTACTGATTCCTGTTGTGTTTTTTTTTTAAACTTTGTAGCAACTAATTCCATGATTTGGGTTTCTCCCTAGGATTTCTTCAGTTTTGTACAAAAGACCTTGAAATGCTTCCCTTAATTTACAGAGAGCAGACTTTAAAAAAGCAAGCAGGGCAAGCATATTCCAGGAACCCCAAGACCAGCATAGGGTCCTCATACACAGACTCTCCCAAAGCAGAACTTCTCAAGATAACTGGAGGCACAGGCAATTCCCAGATGTCAATATGGTTGGAACAAATAAGTGTCTGGTCTTAGGTAAGCATAGAAATGCTTTTTGAAAAAACACCACCATGGTTTTAGTCCAGCTCCCAACACACCTTGAACTCATTGTAACAGGAAGAAGGTACTGCACAAGTGTGTGTCCTCCCCATGTGTAACACCAGCTTCCCACTCGAGTTTCCAGTGCAGGGTTTCTCAACCTTGACCACTTGAAAAGGGGTGGACTTCAACTCCCAGAATTCCCTAGCCAGCCATGGATTCCCCACCCCTCTTCAAGTGGCCAAGGTTGAGAAACACCGTTCCAGTGTGTGTTTCCCTGACGCAAGGAGGTCCTGGAGCAAACTCCAAAAGACTCAGGTACGCATCTTCTCCTGAATCCAGTCCAAGTAGTGGACCACCCTTGTGTAGACGCCTGGAGTGTTTTTCTTGCCGCAACCCACGCCCCAGCTGATGATCCCAATTAACTTCATGCGGCCATCGTTCAGACAAACCAGTGGGCCTCCAGAGTCGCCCTGCAGAAGGGGAGAGATCAGGGAATGAGTGAGTAAGGAACAGCAGCTCTCCATTCATAATATCTAGCCTTCTTTGACATTCCAGATGAATTGGCTTGGGTTCTGAATGCCCAAAATCCAGATGGTCAAATTAGGCAGAATTCAACTGCTGACAACAGGGTGCTGGTGAAGGAAGGGGAGCATAAAAGGTAAAGACTCTCTCAAAGGGAATTTAACTCCTGATGACTACGTAAGTACAGGTGTAAAAGGTTTACACTTTCAGTGAGTAGGGCAAACAAAAAGAAGGGTAATTGCAACATCTTGTAATGGATCTCACCAGATAGATGCTTTACCGTGGAAGGCTTCACTCCAGAACCTGCATCTGAACTGACTTCAGACAAACAAGCTGTCTGAAGCCATTTTAATGGGATTTGATTCCTTCAAGCTTAGGAAGGGGAACTCTGGAAATGTCTCAAACACTGTCCCCAGGAGTCCAGAAAAGGGCCTTCCTCTGTGTGAAAAACTAAATATTCTGCTTCCATGTTTTCCCAAAAATTAAAGTCCCAAAGAAGAAAGGTGGCAGAATTACATAAATATTGGAAGAAACCACCCTCTTCGCTATGTATTTATTGTTAGATATAAGTCCTACCTTTCATAGTATTGTGAATGTCCAAAGCATCACAAACCTCTTCTTGTTCTGAAAGATTTATTTCCAGAAATGGGAAATTACCCCAGAACAGTTGAATTCATGTGTTCCAGGAGGAAAAAGGAACGTTCTGTTCTGGGAATGCTGAGCTGGTGCCTGCAGTACATTGCTGCCTGGTTGTCTACCCTCAGTAAGAGGATGCTGGACCTTTAGACCAATCCTACAAGGTTATTCTTAACATTTTCAGAACTAGATGTTACCTTGCAGGCGTCATCAAGTTCTCGGGTGTCCCCTGCACACAACATGTTCTTGGTGACTGTCCTGTTTGCAAGTCGTGCAGGTGTGCATTGGCTGTCTGGATAGAGCCTCACATGTCCTTCCTTCAGACGTTCTGAGAAGAAAGGAGAAGCTGTTGGGAAAAAAGGAACATCGTGAAGAGGAGGAAGAAGTTCTTTTGGCTCAGAAATACTGTGCTCGGGTGCACACAACCTGTTCAACCTTAATTCTGCATTAATAAAATATAACTACCACATTCGCATGATATGGGATGCCTAGAGACCATATTATGACTTAATGTGGCAGCGTGCTGTGTGAAACCAAATCAAGACAATAGCATTTCCCAGAAATGTTGACCCACAAGCGATTCTTGGAATCTGGTCTAGAGTGTTGTGTGAACACATCTCTTGAATTAACTGAAGCACAGGACTTCCTTTTGGGGCTCAATTAGCAAATTCCTGCTCCTCAGGTCAGTAAAGGTAATCCTGATATAGATGCATGAGTTCCCCAAATTCAAAAGGGAAATCTTGTGTGAGCTTTCCAGCAGCCAGGAACCAGAACATGTTCAAAACAATCTCTTGCATTCTCCTAGCATAAACTCAGCATCTGATTAAGAGAATGAATTGAAGTGATTATACAGAGGGGATTATAACACACCAACAGGACATCCAGATATGGAAGGCAATCTCTGGGTCACGCCATCAGAGAAATATTCCTCCATGCAAAAAAAGAAAATAAATCCCTAACTATAGAAAGGTAGATGTCATGGAAAATGTCAATTTTTCTGCATACAAAAAACTGTTTCTCTGTGGATGAGCTTTGCATCTGGCAAACTGCTCCCCACATTCTGAAACCGTCTCCCTGAGCACCAAGGCCACGCACTGCTGAATCATGACAGTCATAGCAAAGGGGTCTGAGAAGGAGGGGACTTCTTGGAAGGCTTAGGAGGAGAAGGTTATGACTTGGGGATCTGACATGCCCTAATAGAAAGCAGACGCATTCTGATGTAAACATGGTCCAGTCATATCAACTGATTAGTAACTGGATAGGAATGTAACTTACAGGCATGTCTGCTGCACCAAATTCAGGAGAAGGAAGCTCTTTAGGGAGAGGTAAAAGTTGATAACTGTCTGTTTCCACTATAAATTGACCTAGCTTATTTTCAGCAAAGATGAGGGCTTTCTAGAGACTACATGACCCAGAAGGCTGGCCCCAGAAGCTTCTCAAGAAGACCATCAAGCATCCCCGACTGCTGGAAGCAGCCCAGACTTTTTAAAAACGGTGGTTTTAGTTTTTTCCCCCTAAAAGACGGGCATAATATATTCTGCAGCTCCCATCTACCATCTGGAGTTTTTTAGGGAAGAATGAACATCAGCCGCATTTCTTTCCAGCGAGTGTTAATTCTGCCTTAGAAATACGACACCCAATGCTGTGTCCAGAAGCATCTACTGCAGGATTGTCCTTCAGCCCCAACTGGCCGGACAAAGAGCCCCTCACGTACATGCTTCGTGCTTGCCATAGCCGGACACCTCACATTCCGTCCAGTCAGACAACTGGAGTCCAGCCTCCGGGAGACAGACGGGGCGGACGCTGTCAGTTTCCGTAGCACAGTTTTCGGAAAAGAGTTTCAACTTCAGCAGGGCTGTCAAAACAGAGAGCAAAAGAAGCCTGTGAGAAGCTGGGCCTCCAGGGTGGGAGGGAGCTGGGCCTCCAGGTTGGGAGGGGGGCAGGAAAAAGGCTTACCAATATCGTGATCGAAAGTCTGGGGTTTGAACTTCTCGTGCACAATGTATCTCTCCACTTGGAAGACCTGTTCCGTGTCTGATGAGATCACGCGGAACGTCCGGCCCAAGACAACCTTGAGGCGACCAGGGTCGATCCTGCCAGCAGAAAACTGCAGCTGATGGCCAGCTTCCAAGGGGCAACTTCCCTCTGAAAGCAACTTCTCCCATTTCCTTGCTCAGGTTCTCTTCCCACTCGGAAGCATGGCAGGGGGGCAGTGGGGGTGGGGGGACAGCCTAGGGCAGCGGCTGAGAATAGCAGCTCAAAGCTCTTAGTTCAGGAGAAGGCAAACTCCTTGGACAAGGGTGTGTGCTCATGTAGGGGCCACCCCTCAAGCAGCTGCCACGAGAAACCTGCCTCTGCACAAAACGGTTGTGACGATGGGCAGAGTCAGCCCCAAAATGTCCATCCCCCAGAAGTTACCCCAAGGGAACCTTTGTGAGCCCAAAGGCAGTGCTGCAAACAGATGATGCCGAAGCTGGTTCTTTGCTTTGCAGCAAGACGGAGGTTTTCTTTTCTTTTTTTCCCATCTCTTTGATTTAAACCCAATATTTTTTAAAAAGCCAGCTGGAGCCAGGATCTGAGGGGGACCCAGTGCACAGGGGAGGGGACACTGGCATCAGTGGATGCCCTGTTGGCTTAGTTCAAATCTCAGCCTGGTCTGAGACACGCCTGATGGCTCTCAGCAAGCCCCCCCCCTCCCATTTTCCCATCCCATTGTAAACATGGGGAGAATAAGGCTGGCTCACAGTGTGTTGTGAATTGCTGAAATAACCAGTAGCATTTGTCTCTTGGAATTAATACAATATGTAAATCCAGCCGCTGGATGTGTCCAAACAACACGCTAAGCCAAAAGGTGGTTGGCTTCTTTGTGGCATTATGTACGTGTACGCCTAACCATTATGGGTAGAAAAGCAGGGTGGTTGGGTGAGCATGTGCTGCACACCCAGCCAATTTTCCTTTGCTCAATAAACTACAGTTAAGCAAACTAGGACTGTTAGACTTTGGCTGTAAAACTCCAACAGCAGAAAGAGATGCAGAAAACTCTGTGTTGACACTGAGTGACCACCCAGGTTTTTATAGCTCATGTTGAGTTGTGGGGTGAAAACAGTTTCTGTGATTTGAAAACCCAGCCACGGTGGTTGCAACAAACTATGGTTGAAAAGAAACCATGGTTTGGTGTGATAAGTCAGCCAGTATCAATACAGAATATTTGAGTCTGTACAAGCATCTATGTCTCTGCAGATGCTCCAGGAGGTCTTTTTTCTGCAGCAAGGAAGTTACACTCTCCAGTCACACACCTGCATAAGCCTAGCTCATCCTCATCTCTTCTGTGTATTTTCCAGGGTTTGAAAGACACTTGCAATGTTTTGGCAAAGCAAATGCCAAAAAATGGGGCGATACAAGAGCTGGAGGAACATGGAGGTACTTGCAAACTCTTGGGGTGCTTTAATCATCATTGGAGCTTTAAGTCACTGTCAGAAGCAAAGGGAAAAATGCAGCTTGAAGGTTCTTTGGAACCCAGGTCAGTTGGCAGCTATGGATTTGCACAGCTTCCTGGGACAACCTCCCTCTTGTGAAGCTTTTGCAACGTGAAGGAACCTTAACTCAGTGATACAACCCATGCAGAAGCTCCCAGGTCAGTCTCTGGGAGTCACCAGGAAATAGCAAGAATCCCTGCCAAACAGCTGCAAACACTGAGCAGGACAAAGGATGTTAGGGGGTTTGGCCCTCTGCCCCTAAAGCAAAAGATCTCCTCTGCGGTCAAAGAACTTGCTGGTTGGCCAAAGTCCAAAAGGTGAGTCACACGCTGATCTCTTACCTCTCTGTAAAGCAGTGAGCAGCTGAGAGGATCCAGCAGGAATTGATGAGGATCCCACCACAGAGGTAGCCCTCTGCACCTCGGGACTTCACAAAAATGCCCGCCTGCCATGGGTGGGACTCAATATATGAATATACGCCTCCTTTGATCTGGATCTCAGCCACTTTGTGCTTCCTCAATCCACAAGTGGCTGTAAATGGGAAGAAAGAAGCAAGGAATAAGGTTGGGCATGGCAGAGCAGTGGAAATCAACATCTGTTTACAACCTCTCTGGATGAGAGAGAGAGAGGGGAGACAACCGCAGACGAGGCTTTCAGAGATCGCTGGGGGCCTTCTGCTGAGGCATGGCCACCATGTCAACTGCTGCTAGAGCTCCTGGATGAAGTCATGACTCACTGGTTGAGTTCACACAACTGGCTAAATCTGGGAGCACAATTGTTCTGTCCACAAAACATGTTAGGTCTGAACAAATCAACCGCATAAGGGCTGAACCTGGTGGTCTAGCTCCCACAGTACCATTGACCGCAAACTACCAACTCCATTTGAACCTAGCCTTGCATGTTGTGCAAATTCAGCCTCTGCAGACAAGAAATAGAATCCTGTCCAGGAGACTTAACAGTTCTAGAACAGTCAACCAGCGACCACCAACCCCCCTGCCCACTTGCTGCTTCTGCAACCTTCAGAATTTGGATTCCTGTTATTTTAACACAGAAACACAACAGTACAAGCCCAAAGTAGGCCTAATGTATTGTGAGAAAAATCACCCCTTTGCCCCCAAATCTAGGAAACCCTGCCCCACCCATCTGCATGATGCCCCTCCCACATTGCCCCAGCCACCAAAGGAATGCCTGCTCCTCCAACCAAAGGAAACTGGGGGCCTCCCAGAGAGATTCCTCCATGCCCTCCCCAAGCTCCAATTCCCACAGTTCCTTGGACGGGGCAGCCATGACAAGCATTGGGGTATTTCCATATGGTATTTAGGATTTGCTTACATGCTCCAGGGATGCGGAACGTGGTCAGTATAAGATGGGTGGAGAAACACTAGACTGCAAAATGTTGCTAAACCACTGTTCCCAATATTCCTCTTCCCTGGCCATGCTGGCAGGAGCTGCTGGGAGTTGCAGTTTGCCAACATCCTGAGATCAGTTAGTTCTCCACTCCCAGCATTAGCATTTGGCCATAATCACTGTGAAGACGTTTCTCAGATAAATCAGAGGAAGGACCCACTTACAGCAGGCTGGCACGTCACAGTACTCCCATTTTGTCACACCATCCTTGAACGTGTGGCACCACGGCCGAGTGTCATTGTCAGGATTCCTGTGACACACAAGAAGAGGGAAGTTTTTGTTCAGAAGAGAAGCCTTTCTCGTGCAGAGCAGCAATAGGGGAAAGGCGAATTAGAGTCACATTTAACTCCCCAGAATTTGCATTCGCACAACACACTAAACGCAAATTAACAGAGTTGCTGTGTTCATGTTACATGCTGTGCCCAGAGAAATAAACCCTATTATGGCTTACTACCCCCGCAAGTCCTGCTGTGCTGCCCCATTGTGGTGGTGGTGGGGTGTTTCTGGGAGGGAAGAGTGAAGAACGTCAGGAGTGTCTGCCAAGAGTATATAATCCCAGCTGGGTCACCCAAAGCAAGAAGGTCATCTCAGCTGCCCAACTAAAGTAAGTAGGCCCCTCTATTGGGCAGCAGCGATACAGGAATATGCTAGAGGCAGGTGATTACTGTAGTGACAATGGCAAAGGCATGTGGGAGAAGGTACCACTCCTGTATTTTTACCAAGAAAACAACCTCCTCCTCCTCCTCCTCCTCCTCCTTTCTTCTTTCTCCTCCCCCTTCTTCCTTGTCCCCTCTTTTCCCTGCAGGTGCAGGGTCCATTGTTTTTTTTTAAACCAAGAAAACCATATAGACAGAAAATATAAAATGACTGATGATATAGTTCTGGATGATGGGCCCCTCTCAACAGGCTACTGAGGAAGAGCTGAGGATTTTTCGGAGGATTAATGGTGTTAATGATGTGGCTGGATTAAAGTCTTCAGGATGTCTAGTTGCTGTTGCTGCGATACAGGAAAAGAAAATCTGAAGCTGCAAAGATAGAATTACAGTAGGAACATGGAACATAAGGAACATGGACACAGGAAAGCTACAGGAACGGATGGAAGACCCACTGAAATATGGCAAGCAACAGAAGAAGAATCAGTCAAGGTTCTAACCAACTGTGCCAGCAAATCTGGAGAAGGACACAGTGGCCAACTGATTGGAAGAGGTCAATCTACATTCCAATATCAAAAAAAGACGACTTAACAGTGCGCAAACTGTCATACAATCTCCTTAATTTCAAACGCTAGCCAAATAATGCTTAGGATCATCCAACACAGGTTAGAGCCCTCCACAGAAAAAGAGCTGCCAGATATTCAAGCTGGCTTTAGAAAAGGCCGAGGAACAGGAGACATTATTGCTGATCCATGCTGAGAAAGCCAAAGAATACCAAAAAGAAGTCAGTGTGTGCTTCATTGATTATAGAAAAGTCTCTGTGTTGATCATATCAAGCTTTGGAAAGTGCTCAGAAAAATGGGAATCGCAGAACATCTCATTGTCCTCATGAGAAATTTATACACAGGTCAGGAAGGCCCACTATAGACAGCACTTGGTGAAACAGATTGCCTCTAGGTTGGCAAAGGAGTGTGACAAGGCTGCATACTCTCTCCTCATTTATTCAACCTATATGCTGAATATACATTAAGGGAACCTGAATTGGAAGAAGATGAGCGTGGTTTTAGAACTGGAGGAAAAAACATCAATAAACTGTACTACGCTGATGATACTACCCTGATAGCTGAAAATGCAAAGGATCTGCAAGTCCTAGTAACCAAAGTCAAGGAGCAGAGTAAAAAAAAAAAAATGGGACTAAAATAAAATATAAAAAGACCCAACTAATGACAAAAGGTAGAACCACCAGCCTTAGAACTGAAAATAAAGATATCAAAGCGGTGGATAGCTTCTGCCTTTAAGGATCAACCATCAACAGTGGAGGAACAAGCAGTCAAGAAATACACCTCAGACTAGCACCCGGTAAAGCAGCCATGAAGGCCTTGGAAAAGATATTCAGATGCCATGTTGTGTCTATGCCTACAAAGATCAGAATCACACAAGCCATGGTATTCTCTGTGATATTCTGTGGAAGCGAAAGTTGGACTTTAAAGAAGCAGGATGGGAAGAGTATTGACACCTCTGACCCTTGGTGTTGGAGAAGACTCCTGAGAAGTCTGTGGACAGCCAAGAAAACAAACGTTTGCTAGCGTTTGATGGATCATCAAACAAATCATCCCAGAGTTCTTACTCCAGGCACAAATGACCAGGCTCAAATTATCCTACTTCGGACACCTTATGCAAAGACCCAGCTCTCTGGAAAAAGCTCTAATGCTGGGAAAGGTGGAAGAAAAGAGAAGAAGAGGACAACCAGCAGCAAGGTGGAGGGACTCAGTTAGTGACGATGAGTACACTGTTGGGAGACTTGAAGGAACAGGTTGGGGATAGCTCTTCATAGAGAAAATCTATGTGATTACTAGGAGTTGAAAATGACTTGATGGCACGTAATCAGTTCGTCATGGCTTAATAGAAGAGCTGGTTTCCCCCAGCATGCTGAGAGAAGGCCTGGCCCCCTACAAAAGGATGAACTATAAGCTGTCTAACCTCACTGGAGGCTAGTCTAGCATGTTGGGTGAATCCAGCCCTATCATGCTGATATGTCCCAATCACACATTATGTCAAACTTAACAAAACAGCATGGCTTGAATGCAGACCGATGTTGCAGCGAACCCCCAATTTTCTGCAGCTAGCCCTCAGCTTGGTTTTCATAGATATTATGCAGCAGTCCAAGGTCTCAGCTATGATCTGAAGTCCGTAGGAACTCTTCTGATATTCTGAATATATTTTTGACCACCCCCTGCAGACATCCCTGTAAGGTCTTCTGATATTTTTTTTAAAAATGTGTTAATAAAATATATAGAGAGAAGGCTGGCTTCTTCCAAAGGAAAGCCCCAGCCTCTAGAATCATATCTAGTTGCAGGAATGTCTTTAGGCCCCACAAGAACTTTACTGGGTGCCCAGAAAGCAGTCAGTCTCCTTTGAGTAAATGGTTAGATGGCTTTTGGTAGCCATTTGTGAATTCACCCACCATATGCTTTCCACATCCAAATATGCCCCTATGCTAAAGAACTGGATATTCTCATGCCAGAATTCCTCTTAGCTCTGTGTCAGAAGAAAAGGACACGCAGAAAGCTGAATCAAGGAGAAAGGTCTTTCCCTGAAGATCAAGTGAACAAAAATGGTACAGACCAATATTGTCCTCCACACAATCTGATTAGCTTCCAAAATGCTTGCCTCCCCGTTCTTCTTTTTCCAAGCCAATTTACTTTCCTAAGATCCCAGCACCTTACCCCACTTCAGCCCCATTTCCAACTGCAAAGCCCCATGGTGAGTCCCAGGATCTTCTTAAACAAAACAGCAACTACTTGGTTTCTCAGAAGCTTTTTGATTTACCAAAAACAGGGAGAAAGTTTTACAGCAGCTCTGGGCAACCTATTTCTGTGGTTTCTGAAGCCCTCTCAGAGTACAACCACTGGAAATACACAAAAACAGTAGGGTAAACTCAAAAATGGCCTTCAAAGTTAACGTCTCCCTGGATCGAGCTTGAGTCCTTGTGATTTCATGGACAAGCCTAGGTAGGTTTTTTTGCAATAATATGGAAGAGTTTCTTTTACTGTCTTCATCCAGGATGTGTTTTTAGTTAATTCAGCTCTGGAGTTTGCTAGTGGCCTCCCATCCAAGTTCTAAACCAACCCCAACTCTGCTTGGTTGTTTTTGAGATTAGCCAATGTTGGCAAGGTACTGCAGAACTAAAAATGACCCAAAGAAATACCTCCAACTCCATCTAAAACTCAGGGCAAGGCAGAAAACCCTCCTGCCCCAACCTCACCCACTGTGGCCCTCCCACTTCCAAAGACCTTTCAATACAGATTCCATCTTCCAAAGCTCATTTCTGGCTGACCTGCAATAGTTGTGGCTGCTGAGGCCTAGATGATGGGCATCAGGATGGAAGGCATTGTAAACTTTCTTGGCAAGGATGTGGGAGTCCCATCTCAGACAAGTCACCCCAGATGCTGTTTGGTGATGGCTGCCCCGGTAGTCGGTGCCCCTTCCAGAAACACACGAATGCTTTTCTGTGGCAAAGGACAGGAAAAGTGGTAAGTTTGATGGAAAAAGTCCCACTTTTTAATTCTTTTGGTTGGAGATGTCCTTCTGTTGATGTTGGAGAGTATTGCCCCTGGCTGAATATAGGGAAGGATCCCTGTCTGAAGTAGAGGCCAATATTTGAAATGATCAGAGGGATCCTGACTCTTCATACAAAGCAGTAAAACGAATTTGTTCAAATATCATCCTGAAGGGATTGAGGTGGTCATGGGTGTCTGGGGAACCTAAAAGCTCTGAGATGTTCAATTTGCCCACTGCTAGAGCAAAGACGTCAGCAGAAGACGGGCATCTTGTCATGTAGTAAACAACTACAAATTGCTATGACAGTTACCAAGTTGATCTGATATTGTAATAAAATGCTGATGGCACTGAACCAATTGCATGTGTATGGGTGTGCCTAAGTATGCTTACAGACATACATACATATATACCAATGTTTCTCAACCTTGGCAACTTTAAGATGTGTGGACTTCAACCCCCAGAATTCCCCAGC